ATCCAATTCTTTTTTTCTCATATTGATGTGCGAGCGCCATGTTCCATAATCGACACAAAAATTTGTGCAAAAGCGCTTCTTTTCATGAGGATAAATGCACAAATGCCGAAATTGCTCCTTTTTGCCTTTCAAGATTTCCATCTTTGGAAGCTGCGAAATCCGAGTGAATCAGCTTTCCACCGAAAACAGTAGACGCATTCTAAAGAGCACAATGAGCCCTTCCAAATGATGTACGCCTTTTGCCGCAAACCAACCGCTCCTCAAAGATATGAGGACTAAAATGAAAACGCTACGAACTTATGGAACGACCTAATATATAGAGTGACAGTATCAGGAAGAATAAATTGAGCATCTCCACCATGATATTCAATTTTAGTGCAGCTGACTAAAAACAAAGGGTTTTTGGTCAGAGTTGCCTTTCCAAATGAAATCTATACCATCAAAAAGAGCCTTAAACGGAATCATGATCTGTTTCCGCTACTTGCCAAACTCCACTGAATGCCGAGTTATGAATTTTTTACAGCAAGAAAATGAGCAGAATTTAGGTAAAGTCAATTGTCACGGTCGCTCTAGCACTTAAATGACTAATGTAAGTTCATATTAAGCATTGCGCCATTTGAGCATTTCTGGACCATTTTGTCACAAAACAGATTCGAGGTCAGCATAAGCTCTACAAGGTGGTGTGGAACCATTTGGAAAGCCCATTCGACTAAAGACAATTTCCTTGTAAAAGCTAAATTCTTTCTACTTCATACTGCATGATCTTCACTCTCCATTATAGCAGTTTAGCTTCCCACAAACTATTTTATCTAATCAAACGCTCACTACGTGCAAAAATCTTTCATGTGACTATGTGGCCCGATTAGAATAGTCGAAAGTGATATCCACGCAAGTTGCAGGAATAGAAAAGAAATAAAGTTACCTCACATGTAAAATTATATGCACTTGAATATATTCATCTTCACTTTTCCTTCTGCCCATTTATTCAATTATCTCGTACCTTCAAAACCCAATTCCTCCCTTGATATCGTCAATCCGCCCGTTTGGCTAATTAAGTACTTCCCAATCTTCAAAGATTACCCACAATAAGATCTTCGCAAACGACACTGACACTGGAACCACATCTTTGCAAAAAATTCCAAATTGTTCTGTATATTCGCAATAAAACTTTCAGGAACGCCAGATGATGAATGATCGCAAAGGAAAATCAAGTACGCGTGTGCCCGGAGAAGAACACCGGATCGCTCTAAATTTAGTTCTGACCGTAATGCCACGAGCGTATGACAAGGCGATCGCCGCACTTGATTAATGAGACCATCGTGAATGATAGTAAAAGAATGTCATTGGTTAACGTATAGCACTCAAGGTGAGCGAGTACTATGGCTGAGGCGAGTGCATATAATATACTTTTGAGAAATGGGGACAGGTAAAGATGGGGTAGGAAAATATAAAAGCATAAAAATTCGAGCAGAAATACATGTTGAAAGTTAAATCACAGTTTATATTTAGCAACCTTAGAAAACACCAAGAACTCTACCAAAAATGGATACCATAGCCTTTTAGAAAAAACAGAAAATATATCCATAGGACAGAGCTTGCAAGCTTTCAAACATTATTGTAAATTCAAAAAACCATCTAATTATTTAAACCTACATATCACACTAATTAACAACAGTTCAGCAACCAAACCGTATAACAAAACAGACAGCATACAACTTCAAATTCAAATATTTCTACATTCCTTCTACCATGCTACAAATCACGAAAGCTATCATATATCTTAGGGCGCATATCCGCATTTTTGACAAACTTTTTGTGAATTTTGAAAATGCAAGAATTGCCTACTTCGAAAGGACGTAGCAAAGATATATGTTACCTGGTACTCATGAAAAAATATTCAACTCTGCATCTTCAAAACCAAAGTAGTAAAAAAATCCACTAACATTTCCAATGCTATCCAAAAACAATAGATCAAAACAGTAAGGTACACTATAAAGTTTGAAGCATCAAAATTCTACGAGTAAACTGATTTGTCACAGTCTGGCAAACAGTAAGTAAATGCCCATTTCAGTCTATATATAATGCGAAAAAAGGCGCATGCTATATGTTATAAAGCCTATTTTATGCAGCTCTATTCAACGAACATCCTATGACCTAACAGATCTAAACTCATATTCCACAAGCTATATTATAGAAAATAGAAAATACCAATCTCTACATATTTTCCTTCCTTATTGAGGATTTCCAGGGAAAGATCGTAGATTCTCCCGTTTTCTAGGGAAGGAACGAAAGAAATCAAGAAGAAAATCAGCTTTGTTCATAAATGAAAGAAATACACCACGAAAGTGTCACTCGGTCAACGTGATGTGCATGAAAAATGGAAAACTCTTGAACAAATCACTATTTCGTGTCTATTTGTATCTAAACCTAATTAATAATTGAATGTAGTTCAACAAATAGTATTTTGGACGTAAAATTATATCATTTTATATTTAATGATGGCCATGACTGGATCCATCTATGTTTTTCTCTTGTTTCAGCTGATGTACCTATTTGATTATTATCCATTTGAATAACCAACTCCAACAGCTATCCGCCAAAATTAGCAGTACACTTACACTTTGAATTTCAATTTGGCAAAAGCAACTCTCATAAAACAGCAAAACAATCAGTTCGCAGAAGCACGTGCACAATTATTATTCAATGCCCCTATTCAACAATTTACAAGGTTATTACAAGTTCCACTGCTGCAGCGAAATGCAAAATTCAGATTTCATGAGATTCCTCAAACTCCAAAAAAGATTCCCCAGATAAAAACGAGACAGGAAAGTATACCGAAGTTTTTCAAAAAAAAAAGTCAAGTAGGAAGCAACATACACTCGCGCTTATAAAATTGAGCTAGCTGCTCTATAATAGTGAAGAATGAAAGATTCATTTACCAAAGCAGCCAAAAATTTCACCACAGAGTCTGTATGCGTGATACAGAAAATATATCACAAAGCGATATATACTTCTTCATAAGAAAGGTGGTCAAGGTCAAACGATCTGTGCACGTTTTCTTTTTTCAAAATGATATTTTGTTGCAACAGATATCAAGTGAACGCGTGACTAATTCTACACAAATTTTTTCCGAAAGCAATCTATCCGAATTCCAAGGAATCACTAATCAGACCAATAAGTCATATGTTTCTACCGAACCGACGACTCCTCGATGTTTTAGTAACTCTATTCGCCAGATATTTTATCACACATTCTTAACCCAACTCAACACTTTCGCTAACAAATAACGTTATTGTAACAGATTCCGAGAACAACCAATCCAAGATTAGAAATCATCACGTGATTTACATTTTGTCCTTTCACGTTGGAATGCCTATTTCGGTGATGCAGGAGAGATGCGGGGTTAATTATAAACTTGAGTTGTAATCACTGAAAATATATATGGACAGATAGGGTGAAGGGCGCAAATGATCAACGAAAGGGAAGATAGTAAACTCAAACCCTTCATTCCTGTTCTTCAAACTAAGTAAGAATTTTTCGGAGATTTTTAGGAACAAACTGGCAGTCATCTTTCTGTATTATATGAATCAAGTATTTCTTTGAACAAATTTCTTTTGAGTATCAACATCCCTCCATTCCGAGCTTTTCTGCTGTACCTCACAAAAATAAAACAGCAAAAAAAGAGCGAAAATTTCACGACATCTCATTCTCGTAACTTTTGAACTTGATACTTAGGGCCGCATGCACTAACATCCCCGCGGGGAGGGGATCGCAGCTTAAAAGAAAGCTTTATATTTCGAAACTCCAGATACCTGGATTTCACATTGTGTACCTATCCGTAAGTATTCCTACTACCCTTCACTATGAACATGTTGAAGAGGAGCGAGAAGCTGTACGAACCGCATTTTCCAGCTTTTGTGTGATCCCTGATGATCCCCGGCGCTTTTCTTTGAAGTCATTTTTCTTTCTCCGAAGTTAACGAAAAACCTCCAAAGTTGTGCAGATTATCCAACCCGACAGTGCTAAGCATGTTTGTGATAAGAACAAATGATGTTTTGAAGTCATGGAATTTTCGATGATCCACAGGTCGAAATTTGAGGTTTACCGAAAAATTCGACTTTTCAAAAACTCATTTGTTCTCATTAGCAACATGCTTGGCACTGTTGTGTTAGATGTTCAGTACAGCTTTGAAAAGTTTTCGTTAACTTTGGAGAAAGAAAAATGACATTAAAGAAAAGCGCCGGGGATCAACAGGGATCATACAAAAGCTTTAAAATGCGGTTCGTACAGCTTCTCGCTCCTGTGCAATATGTTCATAGTGAAGGATAGTAGGAATACTTACGGACAGGTGGACAGCTTGAAATTCAGGTATCTGGAGTCTCGAAATATAAGCTTTCTTTTGAGCTGCGAATCCCCTCCCCAGCGGGGAGGTTAGTGCATGCGGCCCTTAGATGCTGAGGTCTCAATAAATCACTTCTTCCCTGCACCACAAAATCCAATAAAAGTTTTCTCAAAGAATAAGACTATAATTTGAGTGAATTACAATACGATATTAATCACGAAAAAAAATTTACCTGCTCCTCATAATCTTACCTGATGAATTTTACCCCCCCCCCCTTTTTTTCGGTCAACTAGTAGTCTGTCACAATTTAGAAACAAAACGGATTGAGTCGCCTTATACTTGGAGTTCATGCTTGTTCCATGCTCGATTATAGGCTACCAGACACGTGTTTCGAGCCTTCAAATCAGCAAACAAAACTGGTTTTGCGTAATAAATAGAAAATGGTGAAAATGTCTCCAAAAAAGATCATTTAAGCGAAAAATATACTGCTTTTGAAAATGCCATTCAAGCGAGAGATGAACTGCTTTCAAAAACTTGGCCGAAATTGACTAAAATGAGCAAAAAATGAACTGCTTTGAAAAACACCATTCGGCCGAAAAATGACTAAAATGTCTGGAAAAAAAAAGAAATGTCAGAAAAAACATCAATTTCGCTCACCGTGCAACAGTGCTTCCTTCATAAAAGCCATCGTTGTTTCGAATGTCATCTTCTGAAGCGGAGACGATGACGATGACATTGCTGCTCGATTAAATGGTGCTATTTGTCCAGTGTATGTCATATAATCCGCAGTCAATGACAGATGCCGCTTCGAAACTTCAATACCATAAACGGCAAACACATTGTTCATCTCCTGAAAACGCAAAAAAATAAAAAATTTGTAGAGTGTTATCATCACTTAATGTTCCTCTCTGTTTCTCTGATAACAAACATCTTTTCATGATATAGCTTCCTCTCTTTCAGCTTTCTTTGCTTCATTATATTTCCGGTTTGCGCAAATATTGGTTTTAGACCATGCTGACGCTCTTCAAGTCCGGTTTTCCAAGATTAGTGCTCAGTGCGGAAAGGTCAAGGTCTTTCTGCCGGTATTCAAGAGAACAAGGCGAACCTATGGAAAAACTAGCTTTGCAGATTCGTACGGGAAATGCAACAAATGGGGACATATCTCATTTTAGCCACTATTTTTGACTTGGAGCTTCAAGGTAAGCTTTCCTTGGGTTTCCCCTATCAAAACTCTCCCAGAAGCTTCATAAGATCAACTAGTAAAACGAGTTTCTTCACTGAGCTTCTTGGCTTGTTGCCGAGAAGCATCCAGTATAATTAGACTATTATGCTAACCGGTTCTACACGTGTTCGCCACTGTTAGAAGCAGGTCGCGACCACGTGCCGGGCGAAAGCGAATCCGAGACATTGTGTCACGACCTCTTTTCACCTGTTACACGCTCCAGTTGAAGGGGGATTGAATTAGGACCAATCATGAATTCTTCTATCGACGAAGATATACTTCTAGGGATGATACCTCCAATTTGTGGGACTGGCTTTGTAAAACCAATTAAACCAGCAGTGAACAGTTTTGGGTGATGAATAAATTCTTAGCGCTATTTGACCTCTGTTAAAAAAAGGCTCCAGCAAATGGCGAATTCTACATACGATTGAGGTTCTCTGCAAATGTGTAATTGCACAACTTTTAGGAAGGCTACGCTATAGTAGTGCAAAATATAATCACTTAGACCTCCTTAAACCTACATTTGTGCTTAAAGGCACCGTCCACCCTAAGTTAGAAATCTTGCGTTTTTTGCACCTTATGATAGTAAAGGCCCCTATCGAGCCAATGCCAAGCCGCGGCGCAAAATGTCCCTTCGGAAGCCAGAAAATCGCTTCGGAATAGCGAAGAGGCATGAGGACTCCAAGTCGGCACCGCCCCTCCAGCAATGCCCGCCCACCGTGCTCGCCCATCCAATCACCGTTCCGAAAAGCCGGTCTGTGGGTTCTCTAGAGCAGAGGTTGTCGGGCTTTGAAGGATTCTCGACTTTATACTCCCGGAACGATCAAAAGATGGATGTTGAAAATGTGAGCGGACGGTGCCTTTGATCAACAAAAAGAAAGAGAAAAACTGGGAAAACGATAATGGGGCATGATGACCACCCAATTTCCTCCCGCAGTTTCTGCAATTGCACACTTCAACAAACCTAGTAAAAAGCTATACTCAGAGAAGCCTAAAATCGATTTAAAGTAGATTGAGTTGCTTACCCACTCAACCATTTAACCATCCTCGGTTACGGGTAGTTATAATACCTTTCAGTGAGGCAAGAGGTTAGCAATTGACAATCCATAGAAGTAAAAAAAAAGAATTAGCTCTGATTTCATTGTCGGTCCAACATGCATTCTAATTTTGCACCATACATTGAGTTCCAGGCTTCACTAAGACAGTTTACAGCTCGACAATAACAATAAATATTAATTTTCTCTTCCACTTTTTGCATCTCAAAAGAAACCCATAAATTCGTCAAGAGACCACTGCACTATTTTGAAATTCGCAAGCATCATTCATCATGACCAATAGTTGTCACATTAATCGCCACAAAAATAAATAGCACGTCCTACCATTCGAACTATCTAATCTGTCACATGCCCAAATAATCAGCTGTAAATCATGAAAACAGTCATCTGTGGTGCAGGTCTCTAGGAATTTGAATCAAAAAATTATCTCCTAAGATTATTTATTAAAAAAAACTGTTGATAGGGATGATAGTGATAGCGGTCTTCTTGAAAGTTTGCGTTTTTCCATAAGGATTGAGGGGAACAATCTAACAAAAAAGCAATCAAACTTTAGGACGCATTCGGTGCAGCAAGCATCCTCTGTTTGTTTACTATGTGAAAGAAAAATTAAAATTAAGTTACGTGAAGACTCGTAACATGTAATTTTCAACCTGTTCAAGATTTCCCAATATTTACATTTTCCATATCAAGTTCTGCAAAGACAGAAAACACTCATTACAAAGGGGAAAAACTTGCGGTTTTGAATGAGCGAATCTTCTTTGGCGAATATATACTAAATTTTTCTATGAAAGTGTTTGATTCTCAATGATTTTCGAATAGAACCTTTCCCATGATCGGGAAACTGAAAAATATTTTAGCAAGGGACTACAGACTTCCATCTGCGGCAAAAATTTGCACGACAGTTTTAAGTCGTTGTGCTGCATTGTGAAATTACAAAACTTCGCAAAATACAGAATTTTGAATGATCGAAATCAATATATTATTAGGAAGGGGCTGCTGGAGCTGACTAGAAGAAAATGAGCAGGAATAGCGCATCCTCCTTTTCCGTGCCTGGGAAGCGCACATCCTCCTCTTCCGTATGCAAGACAAAACTTTTTTAGCATTGTTATACCCCCCCCCCCCTCCACGAAAAAACCTAAAAACTTCAAAGTAGCTACTGTGGTGAGACACAACGTTTTCTATTACTGGGAAAACAGAGGCTACGGGAGCTGTCTAGGAGGTGCACGGAGTGCGCATCCTCTTCCTTCTGAGACAGATCTTTTTCGAGTAATTTTATAAAACGCAAAATCCAAAAACTTTCTAACTCCAAGTAATTGTCAGATTCGCGATAACCCAGACTGAACAGTCTCCATAAAACTGAAAAACCGCGCAGATGATATCCCCCATTTCCATTGGTCGCTGTTACCGTTATCCTTGTCTTATACCAGTCAGCCTTGCAAATTCCGTATCCTTGCACATCTAAGAAGCCCATATATTGCAGGAAAATCTCGCTTGCAAGGGGGGCTCTAAAAATAGCGCACGGTAGTCTTTGAAAGAAAACTACGGGCGCGTGTTCAGAGAAAAAGAGGGGGCGGAGCGGGAAATGGAGTCAGAGGCAACCGTGCGAACGCGAAGCCATGACGTCGAAAGACCAAGAGGCGGCCGTGCATCAGACAAGTCTCATACTTAGCGCCACAAAAAACTGCGCCGCGTACGTCGTATAGAGCGTACGCGGCGCAGATAGCGCAGAGCGGAGCGACCGTAACCGAGCGGCACACAAGTTTCCACACAGAGACGATGCAGTACGATACAAGGACGCGGATGCCGACGCCGCTTTCGGCGATCGTGGCGATGGAGGCCGTCGCCATCGTCGCCGCCGAAAGCGCTACGACGTCGAAATTGAACGGCGACTGGCACTTAACGATACCGAGATCAAATTGTTAAGTTCGCCGATGAGTGGAGAAGCGGTGACAGCAAATTGTAGGGAAGTTTCAGTTCTCTTGAAAAAACCGATTCGATTATGTAGGTGAATGGCATAGTATTCTGAATGATTGATTACTTTTTTCTCAGTCAAAACAAAGCAAATACCGCTGAACTGCATAGATTACTGTAGTTTTGTGTTTGAGATGCGATGATCTGACGCAGGGTTACTGTAGCTACGTGTAATCGAGCCAAAAACTTGGTTTTGGGGATGCGGAAAAGAATTTAAGACTAGAAAACCGGAGAATATGAAACCGCGCATTATCCGACACTATCAATAATGCTTTATCTCCCCTATACTGTACTACAAGCAGCTTCCCGATCAATTCAAAACCCAACACAGTGCTACTACTAACTTACAGCACGATTAATGAACTTTCCACCATAAGTTCTACCATAAATCACCTTGCAGGTGCAGCTGCAATTTCTAGAAATGTCCTTTCATAATTCTATCTATTTGCAAATTATTGCCGTAAATCATCCTGCGAAAAGACGATCTGCAGCTTCCTGATATGTCCTTCGCCCCCGCTTCCGCTATCTTCGCACTTTGATCGGATTGGTCTTGATCAAATCAAATAATTCTGCTGAAGTTCGAAAAAATCATGATTTAGTTGATTATTCTACTTTACACATCAGTGACCATAGTTTTTGATAGTACAACTAAGTTTTGGTCTTGATCAATTAAAAATCCTGTTAAATTCAAAAAAAAATGATGATTTATTGATTATTGTACTTTATACTCGATAAACAAATTGTCTTAAATGGAACAATGAGTTTTTTGTGGGGGGGGGGGATCCTCATTATTCCACATAAGCTAACTTTCGAACGTACATTTGGGTCGTTGGCAACTGCTTATGCGCGATGCACAGAATGCGCGGCATCTCACGACTTGAGTGCTGTGTGCTTACAAGCTGCCTATTTGAGTTACTTTCAGTTTCTTCTCCCTCTAAGGATGTGTGAGCTTATATACGGAAGCAGTATTCTGAGCAGCTCGTTCCAAACCGTTACACCAAATGATAGCAACTGAGGAGACGTAAGGTATTGGTGCGTGTGCAATTTCACAACGACTTGCAGATGACTCGATTACAAATGTTTGACGATCAATTTCTTTGTGGCGGCCATGTGTCTTCAAATTTAATAATGGCAGACCCCAGACGCATAGCATGTATAACTTTCGTAGATTAATAAAATGCCCTATCTTCCGTACGCTCAGATTCCCCTTACAATGAGTTAGCAACAATTGGAGTATTGCCAAATCGCGACGCAACTGACACTGCGTGAGGTATGCCCAGAGCCATACACTATTATATGGTGCATCTATTAAGCTGCAAATTTTGCCCATAATTCCTTCTTTGAATTTCTCATAAACCACTAGTCTGATGTAGTCTGATGAGAACCTCTTATTTTTCCGTCCCGAAAAAACTGAGTGGAGAAACCCGCAGAAAACGCCAAAATGAATGTCAGGTCAATTCCAACATCGCCATCGGAACTGACTGGCACATGAAGTAATTGGAACAAAATTAGAGAAAATTAATCAAAAACTTCGCATTTTCTTAAAAATGAACACATTGTCGTTCTTCCAAAAAACTATTTCAGAATATCCAACACCATGAA